GGGTGTAAGTCCACCCCCCTAACGAGCCGCCGCCACGCCGGGCCGCGCTCTTTCAGAGTCATCGGCGCGTCTGGGGACCGGACCGCCCCGGGCGGGCCACTTCATTGGAGCGGTGCTGCGGAGCGCAGCGTGTGGGGTGGTGCGGTGGTGGGACCCGCGGAGTGGTGAGGATGCGAACCCCCCGCGCGCCGCCACCCCCGCGGGCGTGAACGCGTGCAGAATATATGTACCAAACTGACTGAAATGGTCGCTCGCGCCGGGAAACCGAATCTGCTTTCAGGCATTTGTGTCGGTACTGTACAGTATCTACAAGCTTTATATTTTCCTCTGCTCGATACGTTCCGGTGACTCGTTGTTCCCCTGCTGCGAGAAATCGGACTGGTCGCTTCAATCTACACGTATAGCTCGCTATATAACAAACATCCCGTCAGTGATTTTCCGCCCACTACACTGCGCGTATAGGTACAGTCCATACAACACTACTCTGCGCTCCGCTCAGACGGCAATGGCCCCATTACCGGGAGTGCCGACAGGGCCGGCAGGGCCGCCCCCAGCCCTAATGCTTTTGTGCTGCCCGGCTGCGTGATGCAACCCTCCTCTGGAAGGGGTTGGACGGGGCTCCGGTGACGTCACACGGTGCGGCTCCGTGGCGCGTGACGAGGACAGCGCCACCTCGAGGGGAGCGGCTCCCCTCCCCCATGCATGCATGCTCTGCGATTGGGAAGGGAAATCGCTGCGAAAACGTCCCCGCTCGTCGTCGTCGCCGAGGCCTGGTGGCGGTACGTTATTCACCCCGCCGGGCGGCGGCTTCCCGTAGAGTGCGAGGGTACGGTGCTCGTCGGTTGGCAACAGCGTTCAAAGGTTCAGATTGGAGGCCATGACTCAGCTCGCGGCCAGCATCTCAACCCCCAACCTTCGAATCAGTTCAAGTTCCTCTTGTTCCCCTCCTCCCGCTGGCGCCCTGGCGGCCGCGCGGGCGTGCGCGGCGGGGGGTGCGGGCTGTTTAGGCTGGCCGCGTAAACACTTGGCCTTGTATAAAATTCTCAATATAGCACTAGCACCCCATACTTAGCTAGGCGCGGCTAGGCGCCCTGCCGCGGCTCGGCGGCCGGGGCCCTGCTGCTGCTCCTGCTGCTTTCTAAGCGCACCCCGGCTCGCCGCCATTGCTGCCAACTGCCCGGCTACTACTAGAGACTGTCTGCAGGCGGTCAGCGGTGTCTACAGGATCTCTGCAGACGGCCTGCCGCCTCTTTGCCCCAACTAGGGGCTGTCAGCAGGACGCGTATGTAACTAGAGACGCGTTCGGTATGCTGACTCTTCGCCACATCTCACAGACGAGGCGGTTCATTCATAGCTGATTGGCCATAGAGAGGGAATGTCCTGTGCTCAGTACTCTCCATCTTCCCCTCCTACCGCTGCTCAACCTCTCTCACACAGCGACGCGACAAGGAAAAGGTGGGAGGGGGGCACGACGAGGATGGAGTCGAATGGTCTTTCACCCACAAATAACCACATTTTTAAAAATTTTACGCGGTGTTTATCGAATTCTTGGGCCGCCGGGCACAAAGAAACACATTTTTATCAATTTTACGCCGTTTTTATCGAATGCTGGGCCGCTGGGGACTCCCGAGGGGGCAGGGGGGAGGGGAGGGTGCGATATGACCCTTATCTGTCGTAAGGGGCCCTCCATGGAGTGAGTAGAGAGGGGAGTGGAGGGCTCAGGGCTCCGCCACTATTGTTCCACCCGAAGTGCCTGGACGGTCCGAGGAACCACCATTGGGAACACGACAAAACACACAAATGACAACGCTGCCGTGGGAGAGTGAGAGCCGCCGCCGTGCTGCCACGCTGGAAAGGGCAGGGCATTCCTCGATCCTCAGCCCTCGGTGCCAAGTGGCCTTCCCGGATTAGCACGGCGGGGTGGCCCCGGACTGTCGCCGCCGACCCTACGCCGACGGGGAACCTCTTTTCTGCTTTTGCCTTTTTGGCAACCCCTCCCCTCCATCCTCGTTCTGACTGCTGCTGCCTTTTTGGCAACCCCTCCCCTCCATCCTCGTTCTGACTGCTGCTGCTGCTGCTTCCACCACCGAGCGCCACGCCCTCCAGGGAGGACAGGGATTGCGGAGGGGTGCGGTTGGTTTCGGCAACTCCCGCGCTTTTTGCGGGGCGTCTCGTCCACGCCAAAGTCGTGCTCCAGGTGGCTACACTTCCCTCCGCCGGCGAGGACGTCATCAGTTTCTTGCCCTTCGCGCAGATATGCGCCCGATGCCGAAGGTTTTTGCGGTCCGTCCATGTCCCGTAAAGCAGCTCTTTCGCGTTTGCAGACTACCTCCTGCTCCCTTCTCCCCTCGGCAGCACATCAGCACACATCAGCGCCGCCGAAGGACCCAGAGCCACCCGGCCGCAGCGTCTGCACGAGGGCGCTGTTCGCTGCCCTCCCGGGGGACACCGACGAGGTCGTCGCTCGCGGACGGTCCCCCCGTTTGCTGCTCCGCAGCGGCGCACCCCGCCGGGCAGGCAAGGCGGGGCCAAGAAGGTACGGTGTCCCCCAGCCCGCCACCCCTGTCCTGTGCCGCTCCGCC